AATTGTTGTTTTAATAGAAAGTACTTATCACTTTAATTTTTATAAAGCAGACTTAGAATAAATTGTGTGTTTTAAAACAAAATATTGGATTAATGTAGCAATCAAGAAATTTTATACTTTACAAATGACTGATAAATGCAAGCATTTATTTAAAACTATGAATAATATATCACTTCATCAATGTTTTTAGATTTGATGTGAGTAAGTTCTAAATTAGCCTTTACATTAGTAATTGAACATAAAGATTGATTTATAATAATGATAACAAAACTTGTCACTGTAATGATATGAAATTAAACGAATGAGAATGCTTAGTCTTGAATGCCAAAAACTTTAATATATAAAATTATGACAGAACAATAACAGGTGTATGAGACCCTTAGATGTCTGGCTACATGCACATTACATTGAAGGAATCAGCATATGTTTATCCATCTGGCAGGATTAGATAATCCTATATGAAATGTTTCCAGTCAATTATATGATTATCATACAACTGCACATTTAATAAAATAGAATGATGTAAAATATAATTAAAATAATAATTACTTGTTTAGAATTCATGTTCTAAACAAGTAATTATTGACTTAAAATTAAATTTAATAAATGTAAAATATTTTTTAAAATAAAAGGAACAAGAGTTTGAACTGATATTTAAATATTAATAATCAGTTTTAGTTTCAGCACTAAGTACAGTAGTTACCTCACTGTACATGACAACCAACCTAAATTTGTTTGTAGATTTGATTACGATTTTTATTTTTTACATTATGAAACCAAATTTCAGGCTGATTAGTTAATTAATATTTAAAATATCTAGTAAGGATATAGAAAAAAAAGATCAGCAAAAGCAAAAAGTGAGCAGTTAGATCTAGCATAACATATTTAACTTATCCAGTAGGATTTACACAGTATAGATAAATTAAGTAGAAATCTTTTATAAAGTGAACATTGGTTCAATTAATTTGAGAATATATGCAATGTATTTGAGAGAATACACCTACAAATGCCGTAAATGTATATTTTAAGCAAATACACCTACAATTGCTGGCAGTTGTAGGTGTATTTGCTTAAAATATCAGGTTTCGATTGATGTGTATATTTTGTATTTGAGAGAACCATATTCTTTTAATTTTGAAGTTTTTAAAACTACAAAATTAAAGCATTAAAATTAAAATTCCCTGTATCCTTGAGCTAAAATTTTTGGTATTTTATTGTCATTATCTTCCAAGTACATTTGTTCTTCTTAAAGCATGTTTCTGCTTAACAATGGCATCAGGTAGAAAGTTGTTCATGACACATAGTTAGGACTGTTTTGTGCAACATGGAGATGCATGAACAGAAATTGTACAATACTGACACTGCTTTTGATTTTGTGTTGAATACTTATTGAAATAAAAAATCATTCTGTACACATGATTCAATGATCAAAAATACCTATCTATATTGTGTTATATTTCATTCCAGTTTCTTAAAAAATATTCCAGAGTAACAATAAAATACAATTCCTTTAGAATTAATACCTGAAAAAGCCACAATAATTAGCAAAAATACTGAGGGTATCTGATAGATACATTATGTGCACTCACATTAAATTTCCTATTGCATTCACTCCAGTGTTAAAAGAAGATAAAATATTTTAAAATGGATTTACTCAAGTAGATTTTTCTCTGAATAAAGCATTTTCATTAAATTATATAAACGTTTATTTAAAATCAGATATATTGGACAATGCAAGAACAAACTATTTTTTAAGCTTACATTCAAAATTTTAAATAAAACATTATTCAATAGCCAAATGTCAAAAAAGTTGCCAACATCCTGCATTCGGGCACATTTTTTTATGCTCGAGAAGTGCTTTACAGCAAACACTCTGAAACCCATTTCTAAATGGCCAACGCTGCTCGTGACGTCATTTTGCTACACTCTCACTGCATAAATAAACACGGCCTTCTCTATAGGGTTGCCAACTCTCCATGACTTGCCAGGAAACTCCTGGAATTTGGCAAAAATTTTAAAAATTTCATACTTCTAAATTGAGTCTTATTTTATCTATATTTACTCAATATAATGACCACCTTTTGGGTTATATATTAAAACAGATTAAAGAATAGGTAACAGTGTTTTGATATTGCTGAGAGTAAAGAGAGTCAAATCCTCAATTTTTTTTTTACTTTTGGTAAGGAAAACTCCCAGAATCAACTCTTTGAAAATTGGCAATTTTTTGAAATTTACTGAAGAATTTGTTTTTAGTGAACTTAGTCATAATATATTTGCAGAATTTTCAATTGAAAGTAGACAGTAATTTGCTGCTTATTAGAACTGACTAATCATTTCTAGTAGTTATATATTTTTGGTTTAACTTACAAAATTTTCAATTTAATACCTTATTTATTAATTTTATATCATAATCAAAATGTTCTTTGTATCATGAAGAAATGAAATAAAATCAATTATAGCATTTTATAATATTTAAACTTAAGAAGTACAATGATTTTATCTAAAAAGATGGTTATGAAAAGAGACATTCAAAGTTTGAAATGTTTATATTTAGAATATTTATAAATTGAATGTATTAAAGATTGATTATATTTAAGTTTTGTTTCTATCTTAAAATTTTTATTAGAATTAATTTCTAATTTATTAATTTTAAAATGTCACTTATGTTCATTATAGCCAATAGAGCCATGCCGTGCTGCTCCTTCACGGATGCTCTATATGCAAAGTATGGAGAAGAAATGGAGGATAAAGGATGCAATCCATGTGAAATATTTGTAGTTGGTAGTGCACCAGGTCGTTCAAGTCCAAGTGGGAGGCTAATTATACCTCGTGCATTAACATTGAATTGTTGTGGAATAGAAAATGCTGGCTCACAAAGGACAATTGAGGAACTCTGTCATGATGTTGAAGAATTAGATTTAGCTCAGAATCAACTTAATGATTTAAAAGAAGTATGTTACTTAATTATTTATAGACATATAAATCTAAACATAAATTATATTATTAATATATATTGAATAAAAGTAGCTTATACACATTATAAAAGTATGGTTTTTTTAATTAATTGTGATGATATAATCAAAGTTGTTACAAAATGTTTATTTGAATGAAAATATAAGTATAGAAATTATATTTTTAATATTGCTAATGTTTGTAATCTGTGTTTACTACTAGAATTTAAGTTATAAAAACATATACTGGAACATTTTCATGTTTTTCTAAGCACTGAAATATTTTTAACAAGAAATCACTTATTTCCAAATAAATTAAAATCAAGAACTGAATATTTCACTTGTTTGTAAGGTTGATTAAGTTAATAAAATCACTATATAGTAAGATGATATATTATCTTATAGCATGAAGAATCATGAAGGATCTGGATTTAAATTTTCATCCAGTTTGTATGGATGCATAAATCATCTGTTATCCATTTTGGCCAATCCAATTTCCAATTTAGCCTGCCTATAATGGCAAAATTGAAACCATTGTATAATCTGAAGCTCTGAATATATGAGTATTTGAACCTTTTCCATAAACTTTGGTGGCAAGTATTATTTGAACTGACTAATAATAGTCACAGTTTATAATTGACCATTATTTTTACCATAGAACATATTTAGATTGTAATTTGAAGTATAATATCAAGAGATTGTGGCATAACAGCCTACCTCTAGCCAAATTACCTTACATCTGATCATTAAAGCCTTAATATAGTCTGATAAATAATCTGGCAGATTGTTTGGCAACACTGATTTGAAGTTTAGTTGAGAATTTAAGAAAGTTTACAATTTTAAGGCATTTAATGTGAGATTAACTTGATCACATATTCTCATAAATCTAATTACAATACTTACATATGACTACCAGATTAAATTGGGCTAATTTTCTGCAATTATTTTTAATTAATTTCTAAATAATTATTTAGAAATCAATTGATTAATTAATTAGTTGTTTGGCTTATTACTAATATATTGGGTTTTAAGATGTTTGTATATCTAGTTACTTACTTATTTCTAAATCACCAAGTTTAACTAAGAAAATGTATATAAGATGTTGAAATTAAATAATTGTCACACTAAAATGTTCAAATATTTATTAAAGTAATGATAACCTTAATTTTCTCTTCTAAATAAACATCTTCAAATGTATATAGTAGAATCTGTTTGTTGTAATCACTGGAACTTGCCTATACTGATTATAACCAACTAATAATAATATACGGGACAATATTTAATGGAAATTCTAGTTTTATAGATTCATGGCATTAAAAGGACATGTTAAAATGATTAATTAATTATAGTTATTTTTAATTCATAGTAATTTATCCATTAGGTAGTTGAACTAATAAATACCAACATTCTGAATAAAGCATTTAAATAAAATATTTTTAAACTATAGTACTTTGTACAATTATTAACATTTAACTGACTGACACTAATAACATTTATACAAAAAAAAAAAAAAAAACTGGATGTAAATACTATAATTAAGTTTAAAAAGACAGTAATCCAGCAAAAAGTTAAAATTTATTATTGAAAAGAATATTTTCTACCATATTAAATTGTCATCTTTAGGTTTTTGGAATGTAACTTAGAATATAGAACTTGAAATATAAATTTAAATATATTGGGACCTGTTAAATTCAACTGTAAGTAGTTCACAAGTACAGAAGAGTAGTATTAAAATACCACACAAAAATAAAAATAAACATTAGCAAATTGATTACCATATAGAAAATAAATAAATAAAGCATAAAAAACTTAAATGAAATAAGAAATACATTTAATTTAATACAAAATTAATTTAGCCTTGAATTTAATGAGTTCCAATATCTTTAAATTTGTATTTCAAGTTCTATATTATATGTTCCATTCTAAAACCCTGAAGATGACATAAAATTTGATTGAAAACATTTGTTGCAGTAATAAATTTTACCTTTTTGCTGAATTACTGGATTTTTGAAGATAATTCTGACTAATAACAATAACTGATGATGATTGCATATTATCAGTTACATATTAAGATTAATAGCTGAAAATGGTAGCTTAAAAGTATCTATTTACTTGGCAATGATAACTATAATAGAATACAGTAGAGCGTCAATTATCCGAATCAATTGGGGACTAGGGTTGTTCGGAAGATCGATGTTTCAGATAACTGATTATGTATGAAAAAATATATTAATTTATCCCATCTTGACATTTTTCTCCGTTGCATGTCGCTTTGCGTTGAATTTTTGTCGATGTTAAGCCTAACGAAGACTATTGTATCATTAAAAATTATTTTTTTATTTTATACGAACAAAAAAAAATATAAAAACAATAAAAAATTATACTTCAGAAGTTAATTTAGTATCAAAAACGTAAAATATTTGAGTAGCCAAAGACATAGCCAAAGATTGCAGCGCCACAGCACTGACGAAAATTTAAATTTGCTGACTGGAATTCTTTTGGATGATTGACTTTCGGATAATAAACGCTCTACTGTATCTGATTCTAATAAGAAAAGTTTTATCTGTATAATTTAACATATGTTTTCAGTTTGTTTATTCTGATTATGATAACATTAAAAGACTAATAACAATTTCCATGATTATAATAAATGGCTCTACTAAACTAATATGATATTTCTACTGAGAACATGATTGATCAGAAGTCTAAAATGGCAACTGTTTAAGCACACAATGTTAACTTTCAGAATTTTGTATTTTCAATGTACAGAGTACTGATTGTTATGTAATAAATGATCTTTATGTTTGTGTTTCTCGTTTCTGCTAAAAAGAGACAGGACAAAATTTGCTTTAACTAACATTCATCAAACATTCTCGTTCTCATTTTTTCTCATGAGAGTTATGAGACACATTTATTAATAATTTAAGTGATTACAGTTGTAGAAAAAATGTATAAAAAATTAGATAAAATTAAATTATTGAGCATTTAAACAATAATAAATTTATAAAACATAAATATGAGAAATTAACAAAATAAAACATAATATCCACAGGGTTGTGACATCCATCACCCCATCATCCACTGATATTTTATGCCAACATCAAACTTTAAATTCTAAACTATACTTTTTTATATTTGTACAAAAATATTTTCTTTTATATTAATACTAGCTTCTTATACCCATTGTTATTAAGTTAATCGTAAATTTGAAAAATGTACTTGGTATAACCCATTTTAAGAACATTATCAGAATGTCTGTAAACTATGTGGGAAGTATGTTCTTGTAAATAGTAAGTATTATAGAATAATTATTAGAATAAGGAAAATATTAGAAAATAGTTGTAAGCTTCTTGCCTCTAATAAATTAAATAAAATAATTATCTCAAATAACTAATTGGTAGAGATGTACGAGGCTTATCAAGCTGTAATGGAGCCAAATAATTGAGTTCTCATCAAGAAAAGGAGACTAATTTTATTTGTGAGATGCATTTCAATCATCACTAGATCCTCTTCAGTCACAATTACATAAATACAGATATCTAAAACAATTGCAAAAAACTTACATTTAACATTTAACTTAATATATACATTAAAATAATTTATAAAGGGAAAAAATAACCTGCAATATTTAACTAAGGTGAAAAACAAATCTTCAATATTTAACTATTAAGTTAAATATTGCAGGTTGTTTTTTTTTTATTCATAGTTTTTACAGTATAACCCTTTTGAGTGGCTGCGCACAAGTGTTATGTGCTACTTGTCACAATAATGCTATAGTGTCATATATATATATATATATGATATATAGAAAATAAATCAATATTTCAGGGTGATATGTGTGACATTATCTAAGTTAGAAGTATTTTAACATAACAGCTGAGTTTTAAAGCAATTGGTCAGACAGCTTAGGACTGCATAGCAAACAAACAAACACTCTCATTTATGTATATAAAGGATAAACTGTAACACTGTCAAAGTGATGGGAGAAAAAATAAAACATGTCAGCCTTTTGATAAAATTGGTAAGGTTTTTAAAAACTTAATGGTGAGCGAAATCCCTTTAAAAAGGACAAGAGAAGAAATAAAAAAAATAATTTTTACTTAGAATTATACAAACTTTATTTTTTGTCACATTTTTCATAAAGATTGTGTCATCTCTTAATAATTTGCTGTGTTGTCCTAAATCAAAAATATAAACTTTTAATTAAGTGCCGAGTTCCTGAAAAATCTTAAAGTTATTTCTAAAAATTAAGAAAAAGTAATTCTCCAGATAAGGAGGCATTAAAGAAATTAAAAGAAATATTTTATTTCTGCAAGTGTTTTTGATGTAATTACACACATCGTCCTCAGGCAGTTTGATTTATTTATTCTTAAAAGTTATGTTCCAAAACGGCTAATGTCGTTACTGTTTAAATTTAAATATTCCATTCAAAATCTCTTTGTTATTCAAACTGCCTGAAGATGATGTGCATAATTACATCAAGAACGCTTGCAGAAATAAAATATTTTTTTAAATTTCTTTAACGCCTCCTTATCTGAAATTTTTAATTGAGTTAATACAACTGTTGGCATGATGTCCAATCTAAGTATTTAGTATACCTAAAAGTAATTCTCATTAAATCTTTTAATTGATAAATGTATATTGGGACAATCTTTTTCAAAATTCATAAAGATACATGAAAATCATATATCAATTAAAAACTCCTAAAAATTCATACAAAATAAAGTTTATAACAGTGAATTAAAGAAAAGCTAAGAATATGATCATCACAATGTATAAAAGACTTTCAAATTACAAGAAACTTTTTTACATATTGATATATTCTTTAAAATGTAAACAAATTTGTAAAATGTTAAGGATGCTATTAGTAATAAGTTATTTTATTTAAGATCAATAAAACAAAGTTTAATATCTGTAAAAAACTTTAAATAGTTAATCTAATATAATTTAGCAGCTAAATAGAATAAACAACTTTTAATTTAGTATTAGTTATAATTAAATAACAATTTTTATGGTTTTATTTATTGATCGTCTTTAGCTTCTTAGTACAGAACAAAAAATAAAATGAGTGATTACAAGCTACATTATCAAATCTACACATAAATATGAAGATAGCTGATAAATTCAGTTGAAAATGTTTGTTATTTAAATGTGATTAATTCATAACCTTTAATCCAACAGTTGTAATTAATTGCTGGATTAAAGGTTGTTTCTTATTTCATTCTAATCATCACTTTTAATATTTGCAGTTTCAATTTAGCAGATGAAATAACAAAGTATAAAGTTATTTTGTATCAGAATTGACACAAAGGACTTTGACTATTTGCTGCATTATTCTGTTTAATACTTCAAGCATATATCCTTTTTGCTCAATCAAATGTATTATAGGAAGTTCTGTCTTCCTTATTGCATGATATTTACAAATATATAATGAATAGAATTTAACTGTCATTAGAATTATTAAAGTGAAAATATTAATGTCATGAATGAGTTTAGTAAACCCAGTTTTTTAAAAATAATTTTTAATTTTTTAAAATGTGTTATTAGTTTTATTTTAAAAAATTTTGATATTTAATGTAAGAACATGTTATATTGAGTCTGATTTCACATTTATTTGACAGAATTCATCAGCCCACTTGATTCATCTCACATGCTTCTTGATATTTGGATGACACTAATTTCAACTTTATATTCCAAGAGTAGTATTTAATAAATGAGGAAATTCAGATATAAAATCATTTTTATAACATCTGCTCATTGTAGCATTTCACCACACAGTTTTTCTATTCTTCTTTTTATACTTTCTCTCTTTATTTACATAATTTTTTAACAGGATCAATGATCAACTAAATTTTTACATAATGAAAATTTGTTTTTATGCCAAATATTTATAGACTTTTTTATTGTATTTTCTAAAAAAATTATTAAAAATAAATAACAAATAGAAAATAATCAAAACCTGTAATTAGCAGCAATTAATTTTTATAAAAACAAATATTTTTAAGAACTATAAGTCAGTAGTTCTTAAACTGTTGGATGCACCTCCTTAATAAGGTGTAAACTGTTTTTAGGGTTCACAAAGAAATGATTAATGTTACTGTTTATTTTTAGGTGCAACTCCAACATGCATTTATTATTCTATCTATAGTTTCAATACAATATAGCATTAAAAACACTTGTGTGTCTTTTTTATTTTATTAATATTGTTGGTCTACAATTTGAAAAAATTGTAGAACTTTAAATTCCCATTGTTGTTTGTTATCTGCCTGTCCTTTTTTAATCTCAAGAACAGAGTTAGACAGATTAAAGTTGAGATTAGATATGGAAAGTTTAGGGGCAAGAGGCCCTGATTAACTATATATGAATTTCCAGTGAAAACTGAAAGTCGTGTTATTTCAATTCCAAAAAATTTTTCTCTGAAAGATGTTATATAGATAACCTCTCTCGCATGACTCTTTTCTAACAGGAAAACTATTATGTATAGAGGCAAGCAATACTATTTTGAGATGGAGAACATATATTTTAAATTAAATAAATTAAAAATATGATTAAAAATTGCAGCCCAGCATTGTGATGATGTCACATTAAATAATGCTCATTACATTATAAGTTATTTTTGCAGTTCTGACTATGATGTAATTACATCTTTACATCATAGTCATCTTTAAAATTTCAATTAATTTAAAGAAAACCAGCACACAATATCAAAAATCCAGCAAAAAACATATAAAACTTACTATAGCAAATGTTTTCTTCCATACTAAACAGCTGTATTCAATTAATTTAGCAGTAAGTATTTTACTTTTGTTTTGTTGAAATATAATTGTGAACTATAAAAGAATTATAAGTAATCTTAGTTTTATTAGAATAAAATACATCCTGAAAAACTGTAAGTCAGTATGCTTTTATGAAAAGCTTTGGAGGTATAGAAATTTTCTAACTAAAAAAGGAAGATATCTCTTAAAAGTTCTCAAACTTTTAAGAGATGATCCTCAGGTTTACACATTCCATAAATCAAATGATGAATTCAAGAATATTCTAAACACTATAGATGCATGCATCATACCCATGCATTTATAACATTCTTAAATGATCAAACAAATAATGCACATAAATTACATTAAAACTTTGGAATACATACCAATACATACAGTAAAAAACAAACAAATATAAAAGTAAATTATTATAAAATTAATGTTATATTTTTAAGACACAAATATGAAAAATGAAACAACTCTTTTGTAAGAAAACAACGCATTTATTTCTAAATTGTTTTCAAATGTTATTTGTGTATTTTAAGTTCAGATTTTATAATATTCTGTGTGTTAATAATTAATAATAATAAATTCTTTGTTGTTAGATACTTGTTTCAATTTACAACATTAATTTAAAGTAATTTTTTGTTTACTACAATAAATAAATAAACAGATATGGTGTTCTTATATTCATTCTTTAATACAGGGACACTATATCAATTCTTTAATATTTCTAACAAAAAATTAGACATTTAATATGTTGAAAGCAAATTTCCAGCTTTAATTATACATCTGTTGCACCTTTTAATTTGCGTCTCTTACATAATCATTCTGAATATATGAATTATCTCATTAGATTCATCTGATTATGTATTTACAGTAAGACCCCACTTAATGCTGCCTTGATAAACTCTGAATCGATATAACGTGGTCTGCTCGAAGCCTAAAAAAAGGCTCAAAATTTACTCTGATTCAAATTATCTCAGCTTTTCGTTATTTGTATATAATACAATTATTCCTAAACATGAACCAATTAGCAAAAGGTGGAAATTCATCATAGCTCTGTACTTTCCTTAAATCCATGTTTGTTTGGTGCAATTTTGGAAAAAACATAACATCATGGATGCCAAAGGCAATATCAACTTCACTTGGCAAGAATTAACTGATAAATGCATGAACGAAGTATGCAAGAATTCTCAATGAGAAGAACCTATCACTGTATCATTAGGATGACCAAATTGTCAACCTAAGTGATACTGCAGGACTAGGAGATGTAGATGAGCAGGATATTGAGGAGTTACTGCAGGTTTCTGGTGAGAGCCTTACCAATGATGACCTTCAAGAACTGGCAGAACAAGGAATTCATGTAGAACTGGAATATAGTGATTCTGATAACGAAGGACCCAAAGAATTTCTCTATAGATTTCCTTAGTAAAAGTTTGGTAATGATAACCGAAATTGTTGATTAAATTGTAGTGAATGATCCAGATTTTGAAAGGAGTGCAAAAACAAAATGAGGCATTTTGGATGCAATCTCTTGCTATCGACATTTGCTTAAGAAAAGAAAAAAAGCGACAAATAACACTAAATGACTTTATCACAAAAAACAAGAATTTCAGAAGAGCAAAGATTTTCATCACAAATAATGAACTTTACATTTCTGTTTGCATATGTATATGTGTTATTTAACATATATTATTATGCAAATTAATATAAAAGTAACTTAAAATTAAACTAAAATCTGTTTATTTTTGGTTGTGTGTTCCCCTTTCCTTATTTACTCTATGTTGAAATGACTTTGTTTAATTTGTTTAACACTGTTTTGTTTAGTGCTTTGTCGTCTATGAACCTATCCCTCGTGTTAAGCGGGGTCTTACTCTATATACTTTTCTTGAATTATTGGTATATGCATATAATCATGTGCATTGTTCAGATTCATCATATTTTTGATTTTTTATTTTTTAATGAATGATAAATTTAATTTTTATTTAATAAACTTTTGTATAATAAACAATTTTCAAGGGATAATACACCTTTACAAAAAGTAGGACTTAGTATATTTTATTTTACAGCTAAAATTGTTTTTAAGATATTTAGTTTAAATAAAAACAAATTATATTGTAAAATAATTCATTAATCAGATATATATGTAAATAGGTAAATTACATCATTTCTAAAATGCCCAATCTCTGGTTCCTTAATTTAAGTCATAATGATATGGAAGATACTGTTCCAGTTCATATGGATAAAGCTTTAAATGTTAAAAGTTTAATTTTAAATCACACATATGTACCTTGGACAGTGGTCAACAGTTTACTTGATGCTATGCCCAAGTAAGTTGATTATTTTAGCTTTTTTTTTTTTTTAATTAACAAAAGACTATTTAATAAAATAAAACCTTAAATTTTCAGTGAAAAATAAAATTTAATGATTTTAAATTTCTGCATTTTTTAAACAGATTTTATTTTTCAATATCATGATTGTCTTCTTGGATATTGAATTCATTTTTCTCAACAGTCTAATTTTTACAATTAGATTGAATATCAATAATCAAAATGTTAATATAATTACAAAAAATGTGCCTTGATCATTCTTTTTTCCTGATTTTTTACTTTCTTGGCTGTTATAATATAATATTGCTGTAATATAATACAAAGAAAAATATCATAATCATTTCAAATTTTTACTTTCGTGTTATTTTCCTGGCTGTTGTTATATAATATTGTAACATTTGATCCTCTGGGTATTTGGAATCTTAATGTTTTGATACCTCTGAATCTGAAAATGTCAAAAAAACTGATATCTAGAACATGTGTATGTGTTGGTATCTATTTTATTTAATATTTCAGAATGTATTAAGATTAAGAAACAAATTTGGTGTGGTAACTTAGATATAAGGGACATTGATGATATTAAATTTTGATGATAAAAGGTTGAGGAGATAGATAGAGTCATGTGTTTTGGATGGGATTAGACTTAAGAAAATTTTAATCATTATTGGCATTTACAGTATTTTTAAAACACGTCCCTAGCCTCAAAATTAAACCTGTTGTCTTTTTATTATACTATATTAATACTATAAAAGTTATATTTTTAATAAAAGCTCATAACAGCCTGGAAAGTTAAGCAACCCTTTGCTGGATTTTTTTCTTTGCATAAAATTTTTTGTATCTTGCTTCCTCTGATCTTTTTAATCTTATTTAATCATAGACTTTTTGTTTTTTAACTGATTAGAGTAAATTATATTTTTTGAAATAACTTTCAAATCAATATATTGATACAGAGAATCATTTTCAGAAAAAAAATATTATTTTAATTATTTATAATTAATAAATAATTATAAAAATATTTAACTTTATAAAACTTAAAATTCCTTTTGAAAAATTAAATTTCAGAATTTTTTAAAATTAAAAATTCATTTTTATTTTTTATTTCTTTATAAATTCTTGTTATAGAATATGATATGACCTGTTTTCCAGGTGTTAAATTAGAAGGGGGAAAAATAGTGAAACAAGTTTAAATTCAAATACTTTTGTTAATTTTAATGTCAATGACATCAGGAATACAGTTGTTACAGAACATTTAAAATTTTACAAAGCAATATGAAAGATGCTGTTTATCTAGTGTGTGGGTTTGGATTCCTAAAGATGCTACATTAAAATCAGTGAAAGTACTTGAATTTAAACTTGTTTCATTGTTTTTCTTCCAATTTAACATTGAAAACAGGTTATATTGTATATTATTAGCAGTAAATAGTGTGCATGCAGTCATTATTTTGATTGATTCTTGTTAGTCTTAAAAGAATGGTTATATGCAAGTTGATGATAATATATTCCATTAACAAGTTAAAAAATGTAATTTAGTACATATCTGCCAATGTAACTAATTATTGTTTTGGGTTGTTTAGATTAGTGAAGATTTTGGATTAGTGGGATTCTATGTAAGTAAAAGCACACNTTGTTCTGCCAAACAATCTGCTATTTTCAGGCTATGTCAGTGATTAATTACTAATTAATTTGACTAAAGATAGGCAGATATGCCTTAATTAGTAGCTAATCATTAACATAGTCCAAAAAGAGTCCAATAATTTAGCAGATAATCTGGCATTATTATTTAATCATTACAAAATGCAAAGTTTAAAAGTTATTTCAAATCTAGAAATGAAAGAATTCAAACTATTTTTTCTATATAGAAGCAATATACTGTATTTCATTATTTTATATGTAAAGTTTCTCTTCCAGGAGTGAAAATCCATATTTACTAAACATTTTCAGAATTATTGATTTGGTGATGAATAGATAAATAATAATAAAATGAAGATGGAAAGATTTTAAATTACTGTATATAAGATCATTATTGCTAATTTATACAGATTAAAAATTCCTTTTCACAATTTTCTGAGATATTATGAATTTGTTTAATATCTCAAAATAATCAATAGTAATAACTATTGATAACTATAGTAATAACTATTGATTATTTTGATTGATAATAAATATCCTGAAAATGTTTAATATTTAATACAGGAAGACTGAATCCTAAGGAAGAAAATCATTTCTTTCTTGTCAAATAAGAAATTTCCTGTTCTTTCTTTTAAATATTTTATTTTTTATACTATTTTTAGAATATCATAACTAAATTATCAAAAATAAGTATAAACAAAATCATAAATTGAAAGAGATATAGAGAAAAAAAGAGAAAGAAATAAAAACACAGAATAATGAGAGATGTTATGCTTTGATTTTGAATCTCTTTTAAATTTAATCCTTGAAAAGCTAAATATAATAATTTACACAAATTATGTTATCTTATATCAGCTACAAAGGATTCTAATGTAAATAGTCTGATAAATGAGGAATGTTTTGAATTTTAATGCTGCTATTTACTAATATATTTATATTAAAATAACTACAAAAATCTGGAATGTAAACAGTATTCAATTGTAATGATAATAATAAATATCTAATAAATAATGAAAATTTAAATTAATTAAGAATGGGCAAAACAGAAAATTCAAACTCTCAAAACTATAACATTAATGGTTTTTACATTTTTTTTATTTGTAAATTTACTAAACCCAATGAATTAATTTCAAATTTATTGTTATATGTATAAAAAGGAAAAATATCAATACTAAAAAATAGTAATAATTCAATAAATTACTGAATGTAAGGGAACATATTTCATATGTAAGAAATGGACAGGGTGGGGGGAAAAAGTCACTTAACACCATTGCTACAGTATATATAATGCACTCAAAGTTAATTCGCTAATGTCAGGAACACATTAGACCGAGGAGAAAACAGTATGATGTGTGTTACACACATGGCCGCCATATTGAATGCAACTCCAAAACTGTAAATGGGAAGGGGGCAGTAGCATGCCGTCCATAGAAGCTGTGGAAACACCGCTTTCCTTGTATTTTCTAAAATATACATATTGTACATATACATAAATACATAAAATATTTTCATATTTTAATATACTTTGAATTAATTAAAATTAATATTTTATTATAACTGGATTATGTATCTTATTACAAATTTCTATACATGTGAAAAAAATTATAAGATTGTTACTGTATATTCAAATATAAATTCGTATATGCATATTCCCAATGGACGCACTGTATTGTTGAATATGGGACAGCTTTCATGGTGAAAATATTTGAATTGTGTGAAGCAGCCAGATTATACACATTTGTGTATGTGCTTTACAGAGCACCAACCTCATGCGGTTTAGCTTGTGGATGCTACACAGCAAAATATCGTATAATGTTCAAATGATTCTATCCAGAGCTGGCACAGCTGACCTATCATCATATCTCACCACTCGCCACTAGAAGGGGTCATGTGACACATCATTTAGGGTCAGAATTTCAGAAGGAATTGATTGCTGAAAGATTTTATTGACCTAACTCAAACAGTTACAGAATTATCCATGTTACATGATGTGCTCAATGTACTTTGGGTACATTTTTTATTCTGTAGCAGGGGTGTTAACAGACTTTCTTTCCCACTCTGTACTAAAACAGAGATTGCAGAAATTAGAAGGCAGTTAATCTCAATAACATATATATTTGGTCTTAATTTTCTATTTAAATTTCCACTGATTGTAAAAATTTTATAGGTTGCTATATATTCATAAATTAATACATATTGGTATTTGGCAATTTCTGTAGAAAGAACTGTTGGACAAATCTCAACCAAATTTGATGTATATACTACTCTCCTGAATAGACATTTGATTTTTCAGAAAAACAATTTTACTACAAAATCACTGGCTAGATAAAAATTTTGCATTGATGTGCATATTATCTAATAAATTTGGGAAGTTAAGAAACAAAGTGCAATAATTTTTATTTCAATATATAACATATATAACAACATTTATATGTATATATAATAACAATTCATAACCTAATTTAATTAATTAACTCCAAACAATCTGCTGAATTATTGGGCCATTATATTTTGGGATATGTTAATGGTTAGTTACTAATCAATTTTACTAGAAACAGGTGGATATGCTGCCATCTCATATTAATTTTAAAAATTATAATAAAGTAATTTTTAATTTAGAAAATTCTGTAAGAAAAGAATCCGGCCAGAGCAGGTCTCAAACTTGCAAGTTTTGCTTACTATGCAGATGTGTTCCACTTATGCTATCCAGACTTCCATCTGATCTTTAGTCAAATTAATTAGTAATTAATCATTAACATAGTCCAAAAATAGTCTGGTAATTCAGCAGATTGTTTGGAGTTATTCAATTACAGCTGTGATTACATAGGTAGAATGTGGGATTGATGATAATTCATGATATAATTAACTCATATAATTAACTCATGATAAGGCAAAGTGAGCGCCATGATTATTCGCCTGTTTTGCAACTCTGTAGCTGTATGCTATATTTTGTATATATTAATATATTAATTTAAGTTTAGTTTAGTTTCTTCCTTNAATACAAAATAAATTAGAATAGAAAATAACCAAGAGAATTTTATAATAAATTTAAAAATTTATATTAAACTGATCAGATTTTCTTTGAAAAAAAAAAAGTATGGACCTGACAATCTTTGTTACAAAATGAGCATAGATTCCTTTCCTGCTTACAAAATAACTTACACCTAAAAATAAAAAAAGTGTTAGTCAAAGATGACAAAGAAAGGACATTTACAAGATTAACTGGCTATTTCTATAGACATATTGATCTCTTCCTTTATAAATGTATGTTTTCAGTTATGTAGTATATCAAATCTGGACATTTTCTCAGCTCCTTTCAAAGTGCTTCTCTCCTTTTTTTGTTTTCAGATCTTCCTTTTTGAATTGTTCATTTTTTGTCTTTTTCTTTGACCTTTTTAATGACTAGTAAAAGAAAAAGAAAATATTCTTTCTTGTGTCCTTAAAAACATATTCCTCCATTCCACATTGTCCTTTCCACCAATGTACATACTTTCATAATCTTAGTGTATTCAAATTTAAGTTACAGACAAATGTCAACCAATCCAACCAGACAACCAGACAATCCCAAACAAAGGAAGAGACAAAGAAATGGAAATTGCACATTAGCATGCCACATATCTCCCCATCAAAACAAATATAAAATTTTATTTTCCAAGGTATAATCTATGAAAATCAATCTGATGCCTCCTTAAGTTGTAATGTCTGTCATCATAGGTTTTCATGTCAGTTGCTAGGAGTTAGAATGTTATCATAGGTTTTCAAAAATAATTGGAAAGAGTTTGTCATGACATTGAGGAAAATAATTTTCCTCAACGTCATGACAAACTCTTTCCAATTATTTTTACATCTTGGTAAATAAAAGATATTATCAATCTCGTCAACATGATCTCACTGAATACTTAGTGTTCTGGTCCATTTTCTGTATCTTTCACTCACACTCACTTCATAAAATGGATTTTCAGCCTGTCGATATGAACATCTCTATCCTTTAAGTTTCATTTATTCATACATCCATTTATTTTATATGTAACAGAATTATGGATAGAGACAATTCTAAATGGTCTTTTAGGCAAAATCTAGGCAAAAACTTTCCTAATTTATTTCCTTTCTTTGTTACCAAATCTGTTGCCCTAACAAAAATTTCTTTAGCTATCTCCTTTTATTCCAATATTCCCTCTTTTTATTACTTACTCTGTAGCTGTACACTATATTTTGTATATATTAATATATTAATTTAAGTTTAGTTTAGTTTCTTCCTTCTATCCTTTGTCCTTTTGTTCCATCTCTTTCTAGAACTTTCCTATCTTAATTCCTGTCCCTTGGGTGGGATGACCAGTTCCAGGAAATGAAAGAACAAAGAAGTTAGAATGACCCTTAGGACAATGATGAAAAGACAAAGGGCATTCGAGGAGAGAACGGCGAGAAGTATGGAAGTGGAGAGTGGACACTCTGGGTTGCTTAAGCAACGACCGAAGATCTTGGAAAGAAGAAGATAAAGGTTCTCGTCCAGTGACAGCGACAAAAAGATTTTAGAAAAGGAAATAATAAATATAGAGGGAGACGACAACGAGTCAAATCCAAAGAAGTCATCGTGCGGCATCCCACCCTTCAGTACGAATAGTTCGAACACCACCATAAAAAATCCCGGGTATTTCTGTCTCAATCTTATGTATTCTTCATCCTTCTGCTTCTATTCTTCTCTTTCACTAGTATTAAGTTAGCATATAAGATTAGTTTTAAGGTCGGGCCCTTTTTTGTCATCGCAGTTGGAAACGGTACCGTACGTTTGAATCTAAATATTGTCATAGTAGTAATCTCATATACCGTCGTGTTGTATTGTGACATTGGAATCCATAAAATAAAATATAATTTTTCTATGTGCAAAATTGTTTCATTGTATAACTCTTAATTTTGCCCTTATATCTCACAACTCCTTATTTATTTTTTTTTAAATGTATATAATATGCACATTATGGAGACAACAGTGCCAAATTTTGCTGTATTGGTTGAATTTTAAAGTAAAATTTTTTGTTGAAAACTGAAACCACATATTCAGGACAGTATGTATACCAAATTTGTTTGAGATTTTCCTAATAGTTTTTCTACAGAGAACTCTGAAAATTAACTCTTTAATTATGATCACCCTGTGTATTTTTGAAAAATTTTTAAAATAATAATCAAATGATAGAACTGGATTAACTATTGAACTAGAATCTAGCTCTACCATTTGATTGTATATTTTGGGATTAGTTCTTTGGCTTGGAAAACTAAGAGCTGATGTCATAGGCATTTGTCTTTGACATTGGCCCTTATTTTCATATATTATCCTCTTTTGGTTCTTATATTTGCCTTTGGTATTGGCCCATCTTCTCTATATATTTTATTAAAGTAAATTATTTACTTGAAATTTATTAATTTTTCAGTGTTAGAGAACTTCATTTAAGTTTAAATGATTATGAATCAGTTGATTTGGATCCAAAAAGGCCTTACAATAATTTAAGAACTCTTCACATAAGTGGAAATCCTTTACATAGTTGGGAAGAAGTTACTCATCTTGGACAATGTTTTCCTTTTTTGGACACTCTTATAATGGCTAATTGTTCCATAATATCTATACCTGATCCAAGTTTATGGAGAAATAACTTCCAACATTTGAAAAGTTTCAGTATGAAAAATGGTGCATTAAAAGAATGGAAAGATATTGAAAAATTAAATTCATTTTTTAAATTAGAAGACATCAGATTACAAGGTGTACTAGTACTTGAGGTTAGTTTAATTACTGTAGTTAAATTTTTTATGTACACTAAACTTATTGTTTTTTATGTTTTTACATAGAATATAGAATATAGCAAAAGATTAGTTTAAAATGCAATTAAAATTGTAAAAACAGTTTAAAATACTGTATATTAAATTAATTAAGGCTAACCAATAAATAATACCAATGTGTTCATCTTATTTTATAAACATGTCTATATTAAAGAAATTAAAGACATAAAAGAAATGAGTTTAACATTAATTAAAAACTAATATTAATATGGTGTTGGGAATTCTTCAAGTTAGAACTGGTGTATTTGGATAATAATAATGTCACTGCATGTTTCAGAGCATTGATTATTATTAAATTTGTAATAGTTTGGTTAAATGCAGATGTGTTTAAAAAGCAATAATTTAAAACAATGTTTAAATCTGTATCTCTCAGTATGAGTCATTGTTAGTTATTATGTTTGGATATTCCAACCCACATAAAATTAAGCCTACATTATTTGGCATTCTATCAAATCTCTAGCAAATCTAATCATTCATGCTATTAGATAGCTTTCTATTAAGAGATCATAAATGTATTCCAACAGGTTAAATGATTAAAGAATTTAACAAATTAATCAAGAGAGATTATATCAGCTTCCACTGAAAGATGAATATATTTTTTTTGAGTCTTGATTTATTTCTTTGGGTGTATTTGTTTTTGCATTAGGATTTATTCCTCAGTTGTTATTTGTTTACATACAAATATGACACTTAGAATTTTGTAACACAATTTATATTAACAATTAATATTAATAATAAAATATATTAATAAATAATAATCTGTAGAATGTTAGTGTAATTTATTAGAAACTGATAATTTTGTTTTTTGTTTCTAAGAAGGTTCATAGATTAATTTTTAAGTTGAATTATTAATTATTTATATACTTTTTATTACAGAAAAAATGTTTATATTTACTTATGCTGATGTTTCTTTAAATGTCAACAAAGTTAATTTTAAATTAATTTAATATTGAAAGATTTATATGTTGAAATTTTAGTTCATATATAAAAGTCAATATTTTAACTTGAAATATAATTTAAAAAATGATGATAAGATGTCAATTTATGTTAAATATTTTTTGAAAATACTTAACATAAATTGTAATAAAACTTTTGAACTTTGGTATATTTTATAACTCATTGATATTTAAAAATATTTATTAGGAGCTTTCAGAGAAAGAACGTAGGCAACATCTAATTGCAAGACTCCCACATGCTAAAATATTAAATGGTAGTGCTATAACAGGAAAGGAACGAGAAGATGCTGAACGAGCATTTATCCGATATTTCTTAGATAAAGAAGATCGACCTCAAAGGTAAATAACTTTATTGTTCATTATTTTCATCTTTGATTTGATTCCTTATTAATTAATTAACATGATTTATCAGTATGATTTAATAAATTTACACTTTTAATACTACATCATAAGAATTTTCATAAAATTGTATTGTTATTCTAGCTTTTTGTTTCATTTTAATTTTAGTTTCAAAATTCAAAGCTTACAAGGGGACCTTATGGTCTCGGAAATTCAGTTCAGGATGAGACTTGGCAGGTTCGTAGTATACCTCAAGGGTGTCCACCCAGAAGAATTGTAAAGCGCACTAGCCAGAAGATTCCGAGAAAAAAGGCTCTAAAATTTTAAGCGCAGCTTATATACCGATCGATTCTACCTTATGGTAGTACAGCGAAGTGGCTCAGTCC